TCCCGTGTGGGCTCCGGCCGTGTTGTGGCCCAGGCACCCAGCCCTCCAGCCCAGCCTGCGGAGGGCCCCGCCCTGCCTGCAGTGGGCGGAGGAGCAGTGTCCGCGGGAGCCCAGCTGTGCGTCCGCAGGCTTCCTGGGGGGCGGGGGGGGGGGCGCCTGCTGTCAGCAGTTAGCCTCTGCCCCTGCTGCAGGTGCACGGGAGGCTGGGGCTTGCCCCCGCCCCCCCGCAGCCAGCTAAAGGCAGTCACCACCGAGGGTGGGTGTGCCGGTGGGTGCACTCACGTCCCTCACCCCCCAGGGCCGGGGTCAATCAGGAGCAGGGCGGGTCCTGGCCAGGGCTGCCTGCTGTACACAGGAGGGGCGGGGGGACAGAGGGGCAGGGCGTGCTCCCCCAGCGGGGTGCATGGAGAGTTAGCCCGGGGGCCGCAGGCTGTGGCCATCTAGGCTGGGGCAGGGGGCGGGCAAGGACGCCACGGGCACCTTTATTCCTGGACAGATGCCCGACAGATCCCTGCGCCGGGCACGTGGTCCTTCACCGGCGCTCCGGGGACTTTTCAGACCGCTGCTCTGTGCGCTGTCTTGGGCAGACAGTGAGGACCCCGTTTCCTGTTGCCTGCAGCTCTGCCGGCGTAAAGCCTGCTGAGCATCACCACTTCTGAGGTTAAGATCTCCCGGTTTTCAAACTTCCTGGAGTTAAGCCTCCACTTGTTTTCAAAGCCGGTTTTCATGGGGACTCATCTTCCTTATTGCCTGTTCCGTTGCTGGGGGGGTGGGGAGGGGCGTCTTGTCTCCCCGTGTGGGGTCCGATCCTCCCACTTCCTCCTGGGGGTGATGCCCTCCTGGTTTCCGGTTCGTGGCTTGGGGTGGGGGTGTGAGCCGTGAAGGGGCTCCAGCGGTATCTCCCCGCCACCTTCCTTTTCCGGGGTGGCCTTGTGTCCGGGGCTCTGCAGTCCACTTTCGGAGTTCGCTGCACTACCTGGAGGCGTTGCCTTGGTGGAGGGGGGGCGGGGGGACCCCAGACCCTCCTACTCTGCCACCTTCCCTCAGCGGAACTCTAGACTCTGTTTTAAAAAGCGGCTGTGCCATTTTGTGTTCCCACCGGCAATGGACTCGTTCGAGCTGGCCGCCGGTATTCTGTCCCTTGGTGGTGTAAGCCGTTTTCACTCTCTCCGTTCTACCGGTGGTATAGTGAGTGGCATCTCACCGGGGTTTTGGTTTCCGTTTTTCCCTAATGACAGTGTGAGGTGCTTTCATGTGCTCATATTTGCCGTTTGGATCTCTTCTTTGGTGAGGTGTCTTGTAAAATCTTTGGCCATTTTTTAAGTTAGAATGTTCATTTCCTCATTGTGTTAAAAGATTTTTAAAGTATGCTCTAAAAGCAAATCCTTTATCTGACATGTTTTGCAAGGCTTGGCTGTTTTTTTTAATGTCTTTTAAGGAGGAAAAGGTTTTCATTTTTAAAAAGTCCAGGTTACCTTTTTTTTTTTTTTCTGGCCAGTGTTGAATGTGTTATCTACAAAATCTTTGCTTAAACCAAGGTCACAGAGGAGTTCTTGTACAAATTTTGTAATGTTAGCTCTCACATTCAGGCATATTACCCAGTTCAAGTTAGTTATTATATATAGTAGGAGAGCAGCTTTGAGATATGTGGGGTTTTTTGCATATGGAGATATTTTTTGTTTTGTTTTTTGCAAATACTATCTTTTCCCTGTTAAATTACCTTGGAGCCTTTGCTGAAAATCAGTTACTCATATACTAGGGTCTATTTCTGGATTCCTTATCCTGGTCCATTGATCTGTATGTCTTATCTTTATGGCAATACCACCTTGTATTGTTTATGTGGTGGTAGTGTAAGTCTTTTTTTTTTTTAATTTTTTAACATTTATTCATTTTTGAGAGAGTATGAGTGGGGGAGGGACACAGAGAGAAGGAGACACAGAATCCGAAGCAGGCTCCAGGCTCTGAGCTGTCAGCACAGAGCCCAAAGCAGGGCTCAAACCCAGGAGCGGTTAGATCATGACCTAAGCCGAAGTTGGATGCTTAACTGACTGAGCCACCCAGGCGCCCCTAGTGTAAGTCTTTCAAACTTCAAAATTGTTTGGCTTATTCAAGTTCCTTTGCATTTTTGTTCTGATTTTGTAATCCAATTGTCAAGTTATAAAAGAAAAAAAAATAATCCTGCTTGTATTTTGATTGCATTGCATTGATTCTGTGTATCCATTTGGGGAGAATTGCTATCTTAACAATATGGAGTCTCCCAGTTCATGAACATAACACGTCTCTCTGTATTATTTAGGACTTTGCTTTCTCGTTAATGTTTTATAAATTTTAGTGTACATGCACTTAACATATTTTATTACACTTACACCCAGCTATTTCATGTGTTTGATGGTATTGTTTTTTAATACCATCTCTAGGTACCAGCTCTAGGGTTAGAGTGTTGGGTTAGTTTAGGTGTCTGGTATTTAGTAGTTCAGAGGGCTGCAGAGGGTGGGGGTGAGGGGTAGGAGTTAGGGATTAGGGTGTGTACCTGGTATTCTGCAGTTCAGAGACCTCTCCAGAGACTAAAACCCCAGATTTCTGCTGGGATGAGAACACAGATAGCAGCCACGCACTGAGCTGAGGCAAGGAGGGGCTTGGGGGCTCTAAATACTCCTTAAATACATATTCAATGGGTCCTTCTGTTTTTACCTCCTCCTTCACAACCATTTTCAGAAATACTACCGATACTTAAATGCTTGGGGTCTCCTCCAGGGTAATGAGGCTGCTTCCCAGCGTTTCATACTGCATGTTCAGGAAGCCACTTCCTTCAGGTCTACAGTTAGGGTTAGTGTTGGGGTTAGTGTCAGGGACCAGAGTCAGGTGTTAAGTGTTAGATGTCCGGTATGAGGGTATGTGCCTGGGAGTTTGCAGTTCAGAGACCCCACCCCCTGCCGCCCACCCCCCACCCCCCCCCAAGAATAAGACTGTAGATGGCTGCTGGGGTCGGGGTTCTGGCTAGAGGTCCGTGCAGACGGAGGGGCAGGGCAGGCTGGATCTGGGTCGTGGGCTTCCCAGCTCCATGCGGACAAGCTGCCTGTCTGTGCCAGACCACAAGCTCTTTGAGGGCTCACTGCTGCCTCCCCAGGAGCTAGGCTCGTGCCTGGCACACGCGACACCCAGTCATCTGAATAGAATAAGTGAGTTTAGCGTATATTTTCTTTTAGAAAAATTTATTCAAAAACAGGAGCAATGTAACAGGCTTCTGGTAACAGTGTAGTAAAGAAAATACATCCAATGGTACTAAAATAAATCTACAGAAAATACATAATTTCATTAAAGTGCAATTAAAATACTTGAAATGGTACATATTTCTATATTTCAAGTCAGTATACTAGCTTTCTACTTTAAAGAATTGCCTACTGTAGATAAGAAATCCAGAGTTTTTCTTTTTTGCTCTTATTTCTGTAATACCATATTTCTAAGTGCATATATTTTAAGCATATACCGGAAGGAGAGGTGAACTGACCAGCACAGAACAGGGCAGCGCTCTTCTTTCCTTTAACCTAGACACAACTGTTCAGTCTATAATCGACTAGCCTTTCTAGTAGCTTCTTGGTGTGCACTGAGCAACTGACTGGTGAAGCCTAGATTCTTCTTACATGAAAGCTTCTAAAGTCAGAGACTGTCCTACACTTGCACCTTCAATTTACTATATTCTGGTCTTGGACAAGTTACTTTCTTTCTCTCAACTTCACTTTCCCCCAGCTGTAAACTGGGACAACATCACGAACCTCTCAAGAACGCCCCATATAATACGTGTTCGGTACTCAGCATACAACACATTGTCTGATTAGTATTTTAAAAACCTATTCATTTCCAGACATTGTTCCTGTCAGAATCTTTTAGAAGCTTAATTCTACCACCTGTGAATTATTCCTCCCACATTTGTTACTTGCAAATTTGGCAGACTTTACAAAGCTGTTATAATATGTGAAACAGGATAGAAAACTTATGGCATCCCTCCAGGCTGAAGCGAAGATTAATGTCATTCAGAGCTCTTTGTATGCATCAAGCAGCAAGAATTAGCAACAATTCATTTACCTATACTGTCATCTAGCTGGTAATTTCTTATTTCATCCACGAAGATCCCCTGATTTCACTGCATTAATAAAACTTCATATATATGCCTAAATTATTCATTTAGGCAGCGTACAAGACAAAGATGCATTAAGTTTGTTATCTGAAACGCAAATTACTAACTTTAAACGAGTTCTCCAGAAACCTTATCTGGAAGGAACTGTTCTTAACCCCGGTCTCTCAAGAGGCCCACAGAGAAAGCCCGGCTGCAGCTCACCTTCCCAAATAACATGACACGTGGATAAACTGTCCACCACAGATGAGGTTCAACAGGCACAGGAATGTGACTCCATGTAGAGCTACTAGAGAGACTACAAATAGGGATGTGTGAAATGATTTGTGACAGAAAATCGAAAAGTTAAAAACAAGTTGACAATACAAAACAAGTAAACAGCGAGATGTGAAGAATATACACAGCTAGGAATGGAAAGTAGTTCTTGGGAAAAAACCAACCCACGAATGGTCTAAAAAGGAGATTATACACAGCTGACAGGAGAATTCATAAACTAGAAGAGAGATACAAGTCATCAGAAAGAGAAAAGAGCACAGAAGGGTTTCAAAATGAAGAGAATAGAATGAGAAGGGCCGGTATACATTTTTAAAAATAGAAACGATACTCTCTGAAATCTGTTCTCCATAATGTAACAGCTTCACTATCCGGTAAGTGATCTTCCTACTAAAAACCCATATATAGTTCTTAAGTACTAATTTGCTTTCAACACTGCTTATATTTTTTGAATTATTTTTGAGAGAGAGAATGCAAGCGGGGGAGGGGCAGAGAGAGGGAGAGAGAATCTGAAGCAGCTCCAGGCTCTGAGCTGTCAGCACAGAGCCCGATGTGGGGCTGGAACTCATGAACTAGGAGATCATAACCTGAGTGGAAGTCAACGCTTAACCAACTGAGCCACCCAGGTGCCCCTCAACATTACCTATTTTTAATGTAACTTTACCATGATATGTAAATGGTCACAATTTTGAAGTTTTTCTTTTTATAAATTAATATCAACTAATTTATCATTCATACACAATACCTGGGAAACAAGTTTTAATTAAGCTACCTCAAACCTAGCAGTTTATTTCCTCTAATTCACTGTTAGTTCCTGCCCTTGAGCTGAAGTGGGAGTCAGTGATTCTAGTGCGAACAATACTAGTATGTACTTGAGAAGAAAAAATACAAGTTCGGTGCAGAAGTAGAGCATGAGCGACACTTCTAAAACGTGAGAGGAGCCTGTCGAGGCATCTTCAGGGGACCGAGGCACGTGTTACACATTTTAAAAACCACAGTGAACAGTTCACGGAGTTGCACGGCAACTGCGGGCGTGGCGCGAGCCTCACACCCACGCCTTCCATCCCGGGAAGAGCCGGCTGAGGTTCTTGGGGTCCATGGCCTGCTGTATGAGCAGGTTCACCTGCCCCCCGACGCTGAGCACCGTTCCTTCCTCCACCCCTTTCAGTTTCTCCTGGAGCCGCATCAGGACGCGTTCGGCCACTTTGTTCAAACTCTGGTCGATGTCCCTGGGGACAAACACAGAGGCTGCATGAGGCGGGGCGGGTTGAAGGGCCTCGGGAAGAGGAAGGTCTGCGCAGGCGACAGCAGGGCTCACCCGAGACCGCGTCTGCACTCCTGGTCGTCCGCGCTGGGGGTGGCGTGGAGCTCCGTGTCGTCCTCCGGCCTCTGCTGTAGGTACAGAGCTTTCAAAGGATTCATGGTCCAGTCAAAGAGGGGGTCGTACAGGAGGACCTAGACAGACAGAACGATGTGCATTCAGACATGCAATCCGACAGAAGAGCCAGCTTGGTAAGGATAACGGAGGTCACACGGCGGGGAGGGGGGGTGCGGGGGAGGGATGGGCCAGCCTATGGCCGGATAATGCTCTGTGCTTCTCACCACCCCCATCTTCCAACCCATTCTTCTCCTTGAGTGGGGGGCTGGCCTCCCCTACCTGGAAACTGATCTATTAACGAGGCCTAGTCACTTTCCTTCCTCCTCTCTCTCCTCACTTCTATGTTCCTGGGCAAGGGCGCCTGCTCTGCTGCCCCCAGCTCCCTCCCCACCCCGGGGCCCCAGCTCCTCTTGGGCTGGACCAAGGCAGAGGTTAGGTGTGGGAGTTGGACAGCACCGGCCAGTCTGTCTGGGCGTCACCCCTAGCCACGTCTCCCAGTAATTTTATCAGAACATTTGACCTCTATCCTATTCTGAAGGCTTTTTCCTTTTCCATCAATAGGTTCCAAATTCGACTGGAGAGAAGAAAGGGTACCGTATTGAAAACTCCTCAAAACTCAAGGTCTAGTGCAGTCTGAAGATACATATATGGAATAGAATTTAAAAACCAAAACAACCGGCATGGCCAGAGCAAGGGGCTTTAGGTCTGAAATTATAGTTAATTAGGTGATGAGGGATTTTTGACCTTGACAATGTGGAACAGCTAACTGCCCCTGCTGTTTATAACCACAGATTTTTTTTTTAAAAATATGTCTTAGCAAAAATGCTTATTGCACAGGGTCTTAATAAATGAAAACTGAGTTCCAGGGATGAGTGATCAGCAGAGTATCCCCCCATTACAGAACTGTGCCATTTTTTTTTCTGCTGCTGACTTTTTCACATTTTCTCAGTAGTTCTGTGGGTTGGGACTGTAAATTACCTTTAGTGTTACATGTTCAGTTCCAGGACATGAACTGAATCAGCAGTACCAAAATCAGCCCATCCGTTTCATGCTTTCCATGCTGTTTTAAGCAACCCCCAGGGCCGTTAAAAACCAGAAGGGGACTGACTGAATATGTATGGTTTGTCCATAAGTTCAAGGGTTCCTCTGTGATCTTAAGTTAAGCATTAACATGCTCTAGAGTTAAGAAATCCAAACCAGATTCACCCACAGAAGGGAATTTTAATAAATTCCAGTATAGTTAGCACACCATGTAATATTAGTTTCAGGTGTACAATACAGTAATTCAACACTTGCATACATCACCCTGTGCTCATCACAAGTGCCCTCCTTAATCCCCATCACATATTCCCCATCCTCCCCCCCACCCCCCCCAACTCCCCTCTGGTGATCAGTGTGTTCGCTATAGTTTAGAGTCTATTTCTTGATTTGGCTGTTTCCCCCCACCACCCCCCAACCCTTTGCTCATTCGGTTCCTAAATTCCATGTGGCATTTGTCTTTCTGACTGAATAATTTCACTTAGCATTATACGTTCTAGTTCCATCCATGTTATTGCACGTGGCAAAATTGTATTCTTTTTTAAAGCCAAGTAATATTCCATTGTATAGATACATCACTTCTTTATCCATTCATCTACTGATGGACACGTGGGCTGTTTCCATAATTTGGCTATTGTAAATATTTACAAATATTGTAAATAATGCTGCTATAAACATAGTGGTACATGTACCCCTTTGAATTAGTGTTTTTGGTTTTTTGGGGTAAATACCCAGTAGTGTGATTGCTGGATCATAGGGCAGTTCTATTTTTAACTTTATGAGGAACCTCTACATTGTTTTCCACAGTGGCTATACCAGTTTGCATTCCCACCAACAGTGCAAGAGGGTTCTCCTTTCTTTGCATCCTTGCCAACATCTATCGTTTCTTGCGTTGCTGATTTGTGGCATTCTGACAGGTGTGAGGTTGACATTTTATTGTGGTTTTGATTTGCATTTCCCTGATGAGTGATGTTGAGCATCTTTTCATGTGTCTGTTGGCCATCTGGATGTCTTTGGGAAAATGTCTATTCATGTCTTCTGTTCATTTTTTAATTGGATTATTTGGTTTTTGGATGTTCAGTTTTATAAGCTCTTTATATATTTTGGATAGTAACCCTTTATCAGGTATGCCATTTGCAAATATCTTCTCCCATTCCATAGGTTGCCTTTTAGTTTTGTTGACTGTGTCCTTCACTGTGCAGAAGCTTTTTACTTTGATGAAGCCCCAATAGTTTATTATTTTTGCATCTGTTTTCCTTAGGAGACATATCTAGAAAACAAGTTGCTATGGCCAATGTCAAAGAAGTTACTGTCTGTGTTCTAAGATTTTTTATGGTTTCAGGTCTCACATTTAGGTCTTTAACCCATTTTGAATTTATTCGTGTGTGGTATCAGGAAGTGGTCCTGTTTCTTTCTTTTGCACATGGCTGTCCTGTTTTCCCAACACCATCTGTTGGAGAGACATTCTTTTTCCCATTTTATACTCTTTCCAGCTTTGTCAAAGATTAATTACCATATAACTGTGGGTTTATTTCTGGGTTTTCTGTTCTGTTCCGTTGACCTACGTGTCCGCTGTCATGCCGGTACCATACTGTTTTGATTACTACCGCTCTGTAAGGGAACTTCCAAGTCTGGAGCTGTGATGCCCCAGGCTCTGCTTTCCTTTTTCAGGACTCTGCTTTGGCTACTCGGGGCCTTTTGTGGTTCCAGACACATCTTAGGACTGTTTCTTCACCAGCTCTGTGAAAAATGCTGGTGGTATTTTGACAAAGATTGCAATAACTGTGCAGATTGCTTTGGGTAGTATAGCTATTTTAACAATATCTGTTCTTTCCATCCATGAGCATGGAATGTCTTCCTATCTCTGTGTGTCCTCTTTACTTCTTCATCAGTGTTTTATAGTTTTCAGAGTACACCTCTTTGGTTGGATTAATTCCCGGGTGTCTTATTTTTGATACAATTGTAAATGGGATTGTTTTCTTAATTTTGCTTTCTGTTGCTAAATTTTCATGTAGAAAAATGCAAAAGATTTCTGCACATTGATTTTGTGTCCTGCGACTTTACTGAATTCATTATCCCCGTTCTAGTCATGTTAGGTGGGATATATTGGGTAATTTCTGGCATCATGTCACCTGCAAATAGTGGAAGTTTTACTTCTTCTGACCAATTTGGATATCTTTTCTTTCTTTTTGTTGTCTGACTGCTGTGGCTAGGACTTTTACTACTCTGTTGGATAAAAGTGGTGAGAGTGGCCATCCTTGTTTTGTTCTTGATCTTAGGGGGAAAGCTCTTAGTTTCTCTCTACTGAATATGATGTTGGCTGTGGGTTTTTCATATAAGGCCTTTATTATGTTGAGGTATGTTCCCTCTAAATCTGCTTTGTTGAGGGTTTTTCTGATGAACTGTATTGTGTCAAATGCTTTTTCTCTGTCTACTGACATTATCATATGGTTTTTGTCTTTTCTCTTACTGATGTGATCCATCATGCTGTTTGCAAATAGTGAACCTCACCTGCACGCTGGGAATAAAGCCCACTTGATCATAGTGAATGGCTTTTTAAATGTACTGTTGCATTTGGTTTGCTAGTATTTTGTTGATGATTTCTACATCTATGTTTGTCAGAAGTACTGGCCTGTAGTTCTTTTTATGGTGTCTTTATCAGCGTGATACTGGCCTCATAGAATGAATCTGCAAGTCTTCCTTCCTCTTCTATTTTTTGGAATAGTTTATAAACAGAATAGGTATTAACTCTTCTTTATTTTTTAAATATAATTTATTGTTAAGTTGGCTAACATACAGTATATGCAGTGTGGTTTTGGTTTTGGGGGCAGATTCCCATGATTCATTGTTTACATGCAATACCCAGTGCTCATCCCAGCAAGTGCCTTCCTCAATGCCCATCACCCATTTTCCCCTCTCCCCGGCCTCCCCCGTCCACCTTCAGTTTGTTCTCTGTATTTAAGAGTCTCTTATGGTTTGCTGCTCTCCCTGTTTGCAATTCTTTTTTTTCCCCCCTTCTCTTCCTCCATGGTCTTCTGTTAAGTTTCCCAAGTTCCATATATGAGTGAAAAACCTGTGTCTTTCTCTGACTCATTTCACTCAGTAGAATACCCTCCAGTTCTATCCACGGTACTGCAAATGGCAGGATTTCATTCTTTCTCATTGCCAAGTAGTGTTCCATTGTGTATATAAGCCACATCTTTATTCATCCATTGATGAACATTTGGGCTCTTTCCATAATTTGGCTATTGTTGAATAGCACTACTACGGATTTATCCAAAGGATACAGGAGTATGAACTCTTCTTTAAATGTATGGTTGAAATTGCCTGTGAAGTCATCTGGTACTGGACTTCTGTTTGAGTAGGTAAGCAAAAAAATCACAATTTCATTGGTGGTAATCAGTCTGTCCAATTTTTTAATTTCTTCCTGCTTCAGTTTTGGTACGTTATATGTTCCTAGGAATTTACCCATTTCTTCCAGATTGTCTAATTTGTTGGCATAGTTTTTCACAATAATTCTCTTACAATTCTTTTTTTTTTTAAGTAGGCTTCATGCCCAACATGGAGCTTGAACTCACAACCCTGAGATCAAGACCTGAGCGGATATAGAGTGGACGCTTAACCAGCTGAGCCACCCAGGTGCCCTCAATTGTTTGTATTTCTGTACTGTTGGTTGATATTTCTCTTTTATAATCTTGTTGAGTCTTTTTTTTTTTTTTTATGAGTCTGGCTAGAGATTTATTAATTTTGTTAATCTTTTTAAAGAAATAGCTCCTGGTTTCATTGATCTGTTTGTTCTTGTTTTTTGTTGCTATATCATTTATTTCTGCTCTGATCTTTATTTCTTTCCCTCTCCTGGTTTTACGTTTTGTTATTGATTTCTATCTTCTATAGATACAAATGTAGGCTGTTTGAGACTTTGAAGTAGGCCTGTATTGGTATATACTTTCCTCTTAAAATTGCTTTTGCTGCATCCCAAAGATTTTGGACTGTTTTCATTTTCTTTTGTTTCCATGCACTTTTTGATTTCTTTGATTTCCTGGCTGGCCCATTCATTCTTTATTTATTTAATGTCCATCTATTTGTGGTCTTTCCAGATCTTGGGGCGGGGGTGGGGTGGGGAGGGGGCAGTGACTTCTAGTTGCATAGCTCTGTGGTCAGAAAAGATGTGTGGTATGACTTCAGTCTTTTTGAATTTGTTAAGGCTTGTTTTGTGGCCTAATATGTGATCTATTCTGGAGAATGTTTCATGTGCACTTGAAAAGGATACGTATTATGCAGTTTTAGGATGGAATGTTTTGAATATTTGGTTAAGTCCATCTGGTCCAGTTGGTCATTCAAAGCCACTACTTCCTTGTTGATTTCCTGTTTGGATAATCAGTGTAAATGGGATGTTTAAAATCCCCTACCTTTATTATAATACTACTGATTAGTTCCTTTATGTTTGTTATTAACTGTTTTATGCATTTGGATGCTCCCGTGTTGTGTGCATGTTTATAATTGTTGTTATCTTCTTGTGGGACTGGCCCCTTTATTTTATGGTGTCCTTCTTGGTCTGTTTTACAGTCTTTGTTTTAAAGTCCATTTGTCCTATATAAGTATTGCTACTTCTGCTTTCCTTGACATCATTTGCATGATTTTTCTCCATCCCCTCACTTTCAATCTGCTTGTGTCTTTCTTTAGGTCTGAAATGAGTCTCTGGTAGGCAACACATAGATAGGTCTCCTTTTAATCCACTCTGTCACCTAATGTCTTTTGATTGAAGCATTTAACCCATTTATATTCAAAGTAATTAGTGATAGATATGTAAATACTGCCATTTTGTTATTTGTTTTGTGTTTGTTTTTGTAGTTTTTCTCTGATCCTTCTCTTGGTCTCTTTCATGGTTTGCTGGCTTTCTTTAGTGATTATACTTGGATTCCTTTCTCTCTATTCTTTGCATATCTATTAGTGTTTTGTGGTTACCATTTGGTTTATATATGACACTTTCATATAGCAGTTTATCTGAAGCTGATGGCTGCTTAAGTTTGAACCCATAGGGTGGTACAATATATTAATCAACTAATGAAAAGAATGGAGGCTTCTATTGTTATAAAAAGCCTATAATGATGTTCTTGGGTTGAAGAAATAACATAAATTATTTCAAACCCTAGGGCTTCTGTTGGAATCATATTTACAAATTCTGAAATCAAAGAGGAACCAGAATATTTCAAAAGTTGACTTTAGTCTTACTGTCAGAACAGAACACAATAAAGGAACAGCTTCATTAAGCCAGACCAGGATTTCTCAATCTTGGGACTACTGACCCTTTGGGGCTGAATACTTTGCCGTGGGGGCCATCCTGTGCACTGCTGGAAGTTCAGTGGCATCCCTGGCCTCCACCCAGTAGATAGCGATAGCTACTGAAAAACACAAATGTTCCTGCCCCATCCCCAGAAGTATGCTTTGAGTAGGGTCAGCATCAATATTTTTTAAAAGCAGTACAGGTAATACTAAAGTACATTCCAGCTCCACCAGGTAAAGGAATAAAAGCTGAAGACTGTAAGTAAGGGAGGCTCGCCTATACTCTAGTCCCCATGTCTCCTTGTGGAGGAAACACTACTGGTCTCTTGCCCCACATACCCTTCCCCAGAGTGGTGAGTGCCTGCTTTAGGTACACAATTGTGTCCTGGGTGGAGCTAAGGTCATAAGCCTGGGAAATCTGCTTTACTTCCTTCCCTTTCTGCCTGATTAACGTGACTCAGTGATGAAACAGTTCTAAACCTGGTCAGGGAAAAGGAGATGCGACTTACTGATTTCTCTTAAAATCCTAACGGAAACCATTCTGAAAGCAAGTAATGCCTCAGGAGAGATCTACGATGTCAAAGTGCTGATTTATGAATTAAAAACGAGAGATTACGTATAATGCTGTAACATGCCCAGAAACTTGAGAGGACTAGAGACGTTCCTAAACCATGACTTACTGAGGTATGCACCCTCCCCCACCCCAGCATCTTTCCACCACATGAAAATGAAGCACCGATCCTCATGTCAGTGACTTCCTAACAAGATACACAGTCTGACTGCAATCAAGATTTCCTTGTAATGCGCCTTACCTCCACGATGGTTAACAGGGTTTCCTGAGAGCTTCTCATAACCTCCATGGTTTTCTCACAGCATCTACGAACACATTATAAATATGGATTTTGTTACACAATATTTCCAACATACCTTCATCTGTTATATATTCATGTATACTGTGCTGAGACTATTCTTGTTAATAACTCCCAAATTAATATCTCAAAGAGCAGAGTAGTAGGCAGACTGCGTTTTCAGTAAACGTTTTTGACAGGAATAGAAGTATCTATGTGAACGTAAGCTAAACATTTATAAGGATAAGCAAGCACTACTATGAAACAGTTCTCTGTCATTGATTATTGTAGTAATTTTTAGTTCACTTTGACTAGAATCTACTCTATTAAAAGCTGAGGACGCGGACCAATGCTGGGAAAACTATGGGGAGCTGTGAAATGCTCTCAGCAGGAACTGGTACCTCAGATGCTCCTTCAGCACAGGTTACAGGCCTGACAATGAGCACCCAAGGAGTTCTGAACAACTGCTTCCAGAGGAGCTAGGAAGGAGGTTAGTGTGTCATGTGGGGGTGAGGTCCCAGATGGTCAGAAGGAAGGGGAGAGTATTATTCTTGACCCTGGGTTTCTCCTTATTACCTGTAAAGCACTGGAACCTAATTTAGCAGTGAATTCTATAATCTATCAAATCAATAATCCAGATAATTTTGACACCAAAAGCCATCTGCTTTACCTACCTTTTTAAACACCTTCTGGGGGAAGTGGGTGGGGGATGGCTACCTGAGTGATCGGTACTAAGGAGGGCACTTGTGATGAGTACCGGGCGCTGTACATTAAGTGATGAAATCACTGAATTCTACTCCTGAACCAATACTACACTATGTGTTACCCAACCACAGGTGGTAGGTGGGGGAGGGGCACAGGAGGAAGGTGGTGCAAGGTACAAACTCCCAGGTAGGAGACAAGGACGAGACAGGGAACATAAAACAGGTGGACTCCGGTTAACACAACAGTGAACATTTGTTAACACTCTAACCCTGCTGTGTGGCACGTTAGGGGCGGGAATCCTAAGAGTTATCACAAACTTTTTTGTCTTTTTTCTTCTTTCTTTTTTTTAGTATCGGTACGAGGGGATGGATGTAGGCTGAAGCTACTGTCATCCTGTAACACACGTAAGTCAAACAAACCAGCATGCTGTGTGCCTTAGACTTCTACAGTGATGGACGTCAATTATCTTTTAATAAAAGTGGGGAGAAAAAGAAAGAAATACCCGCCTACCTTCTGAAGACCCCTTCGACACCAGTAATGCCCATCCCATCCACAATATCCCTGGTGAGTCTGAAAGGAACCGTCTCGGGAGTAGGGAGGATTTTACCCTGTTCAAAAGCGACTCCTACAGTAAACAGTACAGCAGCGTTAGGGGCGTCCACCCTCCCATGTGGCGTGCGAGCTGTGCCCAGACCCCACATAAGCTGTCACCAGCCGTCCCGAGCACCAGAACCCACAGCGGTGCAGTCCGTTTCTGCTCTGCCTGTCTAGGAGGTGCACCTCAGACTGAAAAACCACTTCAGATTTCAACATGCAGCCTTCACGCAGCCGTACTTAGCATCTTCCGTTCCCGCGAGATCATCTTCGTTCTTCCCCATTCCGTGTTTGCTGAAGACCCTCGCTCGCTGTTAAGACCTGCCATAAATGTCCTGTTCTACAAGCAGCCCTCATTATGGCGGCGGTTAGCCAGTCCCTCCTGCACGTGCTGATGCCACCTGAAACGTTTGCTGCTGTGGTGAATCTATATCTCCTTCACACCTGTAATATCCTGGGGGCAAACATCATTTCTTATTTTGTTAAACAGAATAAAGATGCCCTTCTCATCTTTCACTACTTACCTAAATCTATGTGTACGAGCTCTGCGGACTGCTCGTTTATCAAGATGTTCTGTACGTGTCTATCACCAAGTCCAAGTATGTACCCGACTAGGAAAGAAAACACAACAATGTGAGATCACTGGTACCTATTTCTAGAACACATTTAGCCATTATTTCAACTAATTCCACTGACAACATGACCTTTTAATGTAGGCTATTTAGCCTAAAGGCAGATACGTACATAACTTGCCACTTGGTGTGTAAGTCAAGTCTTGCCAGCTATTTTCATTTATACTGCATTTTACAAATCCTAGATGACGTGCTAAAAAAAAAAGCTTCCCCTTTACAAGTAATCTTATGTCTAAAAATATTAGTATGTGCGTTGAATATGAGTGAGGTTAAAGTCGAGACCCACCCATTATTTGGCAGGATCAAAGCAGTGTATTCTATGCACTCAAATATTTTACTGAGTATACTTTTAGAGTGAGAAGCCTATGGGTAAATTCTTCATTCTTCAGTAAAACTTTCTTCTGCTTGATGAATTACATGTCACACAAATTAATCATTAATTCATTTCATCAGGTATTTATCCAGGAAAAGCTGCATTTCTGTTTTCAGGATAGTTGAGGGCAGGCCTGAATGCTTTTAATCCAATGAAAACCACCGTGCGGTGTTCCAGAAGCAGTGAGGAACAGGGGTCGGGAAGCCTGTGTGCGTGGCCAGCGCGGTCGTTAACTGGCTCTACTTTCTGGTTTGTGAACTAAATTAGGTGAATCAGATTAGTTAATTCTTAATGTGGAAAAGAAGGTTTCGTGTTACCCAGAACTTTTTCAAAACCTCCATGCCCTGCCTTCTGGGAGTGTGGTACCAAAGTGATGGAGGGAGGGTCTTTATTAGTTAAAAATCGATAGATGAAAAGATCTCTGGTGTTCAACATTAGTTTTCATAGTTTAGGATTTTGTGAATTGCCCTATCTAGCTATTCCAATATCTTACCAATTAAAAAAAAAAATGGCCAAAATATGTATTGAGCACTGCATATTTAAGTATATACCATGATTTCTAATCCAAAAATAAAATCGATTAAGCAGATCCAATCACTGGGTGATATTAGAGATTCTGTGCAGAACAGAAACAATTAAAGGAGCTAAATTAAATATAGGTATCATGGGTTTTATGATTTTCCAAAGAAAATCTGAGAAAACAGTATATTGAGGGAAGGGAAAATACAAGGTATTCACTATTCAACAAGGTCTCATCTCTCTTCTTTGGTTGGAGTAGGAGAATCCTTCCCGGCAAAAGGTCGGAAGAGCTACAGTTAGAAGCTGAGAAAAGGGATGAACAAGAGACACGAGATCTCTCAATAAGGCTTGCCCGGCTGACTGGCACGTCACCACCACCACCAGCAACGCCCACCCCTGCCCGGAGCTCAGAAAGCAGCAAGTGCTGCATCTGCTGAGCTGTGTACAAAGCTTACCGATAGAAGAAGTAGCCACGCTGCGAGTATAAGCCAGTCGTTTCTCGAACCAAACAGCTGGGTCCAAGAATTTCTCCATGCAGAAGTAACGGAAAACTGGTTGAAAATTTTGGCAGATATCCATGAAGGTTTTGTATTTCTCTTCAAAAGACTTCTTTTGTACATCCTTTAGGAAGAGCCAATACAAAACTTTCTCAACGCTGTGCTCAACTACTTTTAACACCCACACGAAGTTTCTTGATAGAACTTAGTACGACAGGCATAGAGGCGACCAAAAGGTGAACAAGGCATCACCTCTACCACCGGAAGCTGCCGGTCTGCTCGGGGAAACAGTTACAAGTCAGAACCCCTGTGGGGCTCAGGGGTCCACCTTGGGGGAAAGGAGGCACACCAGCAGGGCCGTTATGTGTTTTAATTCAATCCTAATTTGAACAATTCTGTAATCTATTTGGATGTGAACACAAAACAGCCAGAGGCAGCTCTAGCCACACAGCCCCGGGGTCAACAGGAACAGAAAAGGAAGAACAGAAGAACCACTGATGGACAGCAGCTCACGTGCCTCAAATCCATCCTCCGACATCTTCTCACGTGTTTAATCCTTCCCTGAAGCAAAGTCTCTCTACTTCAGTGGGCCCAACTCGCAGCCCTGTGCCGGCCCCAATCTGCGTCTCTGGCCCAGTGTCTTTATTAAGCTCCAGCTCCATGTGCTTCTCCAGAGGCTCCCTCTGTATCCGCGCCAGGAGCACCCCCAAACCCGTTCTCCAGCAACTCCCTTGGCATCCGCACCAGGAGCATCCCCAAACCCAAACCGCTTCAAGTCTCAGCCGGCAAACCTCAGCCACTTCCTCTCCCCTTCTACCCCCTCATTGGAAAACTGGGGGCCACTAATGATTCTCTTCCCCAACCCCACTTCTAATCAGCCACCAAATCCCATCAGTTCTGTCCCCTTACGATTTCTGGTATGTTCTCCCATTCTCCACTCCTGTTATGAGTATTAGTACAGGACCCCTGTGTCATCCTTCTCGTCAGCCTCTCAAAAGTGTAGCCCCCAGTGCTGCGAGAGTCGTTTCTCTAACTGCAAACGTGGTACCAGCACCTTCTCAACAGTTCTCTGCTGCCCGCAGGATAAAGTGCAAATTTCCCAGCATTTCACAAAGCAACCCTTCATTTTCTAACGAACCATACTGCTGCAAGTCTCCTGTATCTCCGCCTCCTCTAAGACTAGGCCTGAGCCGTCTCTAACCGCCCGTCCATGCCCCTTCCTGCCCTTGGCCTGCGCTCCTGCTTAGAAAACCAGCTCAGTCAGTAATCTCAGCTCAGAGGTCTCTCTTCCACGAAGCCTCCAGAGTCCGACCCCACCCCTGCCTGTCCCAGGGAGAGCTGCCACCTGCCCTGCGCCGCGCCCCGGGCAGCCCGCCGTGGCAGCGCGTGCGGCGCTCTACCACACACTTCACATCTATTCACGTCTCTATGGAATAGGACAGGGAAAGGAAAAGAATGGATTTCAGAGTTGGACAGACAAGAGTCCAATCCTTGCTCCGCCATTTATTAGCTCACTGACCGCAGCCAGGTTATATTTCTGAATTTCCTCTCATTTTAAGATGGGAGAGGTATGGTGGTGATGAGTCCTAACGTCCATGCCGGGTCCGCACAGGAGCTGGGAGACAGGAGACGTTCAGTCACAGTTGCTGACGGGCCGAATGGCCGTCAGGCCAGGTGGCCAGCGTCTGTGGTACATGTCCTAAAGGGTCTGTCAGTCTCCTAGAACAACTACCTCATCGTCTGTTTTCTGGCTTTAGTCAGTGTTTTGAATCCACTTACCCCAAACTGGAAGCAAATTAGCATTCCACTAAGTGTTAAATCTCTCATCAGACCAAGGCTGTCACTTTATACAGTTGAAAAACTTTCCTTTTTTCACTCCCACAAACTTCCATTCCAGTGAGCCTTCCAGTGAGCCTGCCTCCTTCTCTTACTGTCACTAACCTTAGTACCATTACCTATGAAATGAAAATATTCTGTATCCTGTAACACTCGGTAACTTCCAGCTCTAATAAGCTGTTAAATACTCTCGCAATAATTCGTACTTTTGAGTGTCACTCACCATGATTTTCTTTTGGCACTGAAGGGCGCTGAAATCCCTCGGCCTGTATCTCTTATGAGCGCCATTCTCGTTGTTAACAAGAAATTCACCGATCGGGATGGTTCCTGTGCACCACTCGAGAACGCCACTCCGCTGAGAAAGCGGAACCACCTGAGTCCGGACGAGATACACTTGGATTACGCGAGGGTATTGACGGGCACACGGCGGCCACTCAACTCAGAGTCTGCGTGAAGCAGCTCTTCAGGTGGGACCGCTATTTCTCTGTGCAAAGGAGACAAAATTCCTTGGAGGAAAATGAACTTGAGCTCAAAGAACGAGACTTTCCAGCCTGCTGCGTGGACTCCCGAGGGCCTGCTCCTCTCTCCAGCTTCCGGGTTCGCCAAGGCCGGTGCTGCTAACTATCTACACTCTCCTCTCCGGCATCATCTGCGACGCAACAGTTTGCTCCACTTAGCAGGGAGCTGACTGCGTTCCTTACACTTTTAATAGCAAATAGATTTAAAGAGCGTCACTTTGGGAAATACTGAATATGATCATAATACTCTGATCATTAAAAGTCCATGTATTCTTGCTTTGTAGTCTTGTGAGCTACACCAAGAGGAAGTCTATTCCTGAACATGAAATGAGCAGTTTTACCACAAAGATTAAAAGCTAGGACATGTACAGATATATGTCAAGTTCAGAAAATGATATAAACAAACATCCTTTTACCCACTCATCAGCTTTCTCAAATGTAAAGATTTTCTCCTGTTTGCTGCAGAGATGAAGCTGCCTTTGGACCCCTTACTGGCCCCATGCCCTCTGCCACCAGTAACTTTATCTTGTTCCTCTATTTTCTGGTATATTTTTATTTGAAAGCAATATATGCATAAATGGTTGTAAGCTTTAAATACAGGAGTATTATATTCAGTGAATGCTTCTGCAATTTGCTGTTTTTTCACTCAACACTATTTCACCGTTAGTTGTGTTAGTACATGTAACTAAATGGCTTAACGAACCTATACTGTAGAAGTATACTGTAATTATCCACTTTCTACAATCTGCATGTTAACTGAAACTTACAAACTGTCCAGAGTCCCCTCAAGTGGTGGGACAGTGCCCTAGTGTCCTGGCTGGTGACTATCTCAGTCTCTCCGGGCACGTACATACCTGGGAACTAATACCTGGGTCACAGGGATGTTCACCTTCAACTTAGTTAACCAGGTATTGCCAAATACCTATCCAAAGTGCTTGTGCCAATCTATACACCCAGAAACAGAGTTCATTCCATAACCTTCCCAACATGTAGCACTGTTAAGGTTTCTATTTAAAGTGTACCAGTCTGAGACGTGTGAGATGGTAGCTCACTGTGGTTTCGATCTGTATCTTCAGATTCCCAGTGAGGCTGAGTAAAATCTGGCAGGTCATTCAAGTATTTTCCTCTTGTGACTTGTCTGTATTCTTTACCTGTTTTCCTACGGACATGTTAGTCTTTTTACAACTGGTTTGTAAGAGCTGTTTATATATTCTGTATATAAATCCCTTGTTATTAGTATTACAACAATTCTTTGTTGTTATTACCATCATCATCAAACTCGTTTTTCTTAGTTGGCCACTTGTCTTTACAGAATATTTGATTCTACAGTTTTTACTTTAATGTGCTCAAATAGGCTGCACTCTTTTATGGTTTGTGTCTTTCATTAATTTACTAACTTTGTGTGTTGAGGGTCGGTTCCGTGCTCACTGGTGCGTGTGTGTGGAGAGTGGCGTGTGGGGCACATGAGGACTGTGCTGTCCGACAGCTTCGCGCCAGTGACGGGACACATGCGCTCACAGACATGTAATGATGCCAGAAAACAAGGACGACGGGACGCAACAGGCATTGAAAATAGTAAGAGAGATCTGGGCAGAGCAGGGCTCCGGGAGTTGGTGACTGGACACAATGTGAATGAGGTGAGGGAGGGAGGCACGGGCTGAGGGAAGAGTATGCCAGGCAGAGAGGGATGAGGAAGCCCTGAGCTGAAACAAAACCGGGGCATCTATGCGAGAGCCGGAGACCAGGTGAGTCCAGGGGAGGCGACACCATCAGGAGGAGGAAGTGAGGGACAAGGGCGGGAGAGCAGCAGATAAAGGTGGAAAGGGAACAGGAGAGGCAAACCCTTTCCCTCAGGGTACCGTGAAGTCATCTGGAGTTCTGAGCAGGAAATGGACCTATTTATTCAGCCCTGGACTCTTTAAACAGATCGTTCTAGCTGTTGTGAGTGAAGCAGCTGTGGGGGGCTGAGGACAGAGGTAGGGGCTTAGCCAGACGCCACCGAAGAGACGTGAGTGCAGGGCGGGACTGGCAGACGTGCAAGTGGCTGGAACGAAGGTGGACGGGTAAGGACGTGCTGACGGAAGGGATGTGAGAAGGTGAGATATGAGAGGGACGGGGAGGGGTTACTAGGATGCTGAATATTTGGTGACATTTAGGAATTACTGCTAACTCTTTTAGGATGACAGTATCGTGGTTCTGTTTTCTTTTTTTAAAGAGACATTATCTTACCTAACTACACATTTAAATAAACGTTTACAGATGAAATATGACATTTTACTTCAAAGTAATATTGGAGAGGAGGAAGAGGGCGGAAGTAGAAATGAAACAAAATTATCCATGAGTTGATCACTACTGATCACTGGGTGATGGTAGGGGGAATTCACTACATTATTCTATCTACTTTTGTTATGTTTGAAATTTTTAACAGTACTTAAAGTAACAAGGAACTCGCACCTCCAGGATGTGGACTGAGCGCCGGGGTGAAGGTCCTGCTGAATGCGGAAGAGCCGCGGTGCGTGGTCTGGGATTGGGGGTGGAGGCACTCGCCCAGGACCTCTCAGACTCCGACACGGCGCCCTGATCTGGTCGGGAGCCAGCCCTCCCAAGGGCTGTGTGTGATCTGACACAGCCCTCCGTGACAGGCCGCGCAGGGAAGACGGCAGCGGGGAGCGGCCGGGACGCAGGGCCGCCGCCCCCGAGTGGCTGCTTCCCAGGCCCAGGCTGCAGGGAGCATTATGTGGCCCACGAGGTGTGCCATGTTTACCATCACAGGAAACGCTGGCGGGCCCCTCGTCTGGGTAACGGCATCTTTCCTGTGCTCTTGAGGAAGGAGCAGGGGCCGGAAGTACTCACCTTGTACGTGCAGATGGTCAATTTCCTCTTCCTGGTCTCGGTGTTTCTCTGCAGCAACGTGTTACACATCTGGAAGACCTGCTGCATGACGGCATCTTGTCTCAGGTCATCGCGGCCCTTCAGGGTACCAGACGCAAGTAAGAGGCGCGGTCCATTTGCTTTATTACAGGATCATGCAGAGGGTCACATCAGGACCACGACTGGGCCCTCAGAAATCAGCCCGGCCACAGCGCCTGGGGGGCTCAGCCGGTTAAGCATCTGACGTCAGCTCAGGTCATGATCTCACACTTGTGGGTTCGAGCCCTGCGTCAGGCTCTATGCTGACAGCTAGGGGCGGGGCGCCTGCTTCGGACTCTGTCTTCCCCTCTGTCCCTCCCCTGCTTGTGGCTCTTTCTGTCTCTCAAAACTAAGTAAACATTGAAAAAAAAGAAAGAAATCAATCTAGGCATCTGTACTTCTCACGGTCTCTTAACATAACTAAGACCCACTGCTACTCTCTCACTTAGAATTAGCTGTAACACTGGGGAGAGACCGATTCGGGAAAAAGCTTGCCCCGGCTGCGTGTGGAACCAGGCTAACTGCAACCCGTCTGTGGAGGCACAGCCCACTCTTCTCTTAAGTGTCTCCCAGGAGGCCCCCAGGGCTGGGGAGCAGAGTCAGGGAGGAAGCTGCCCCTTCCTGATACAGTTAACAGCAGCTGGCACAGTGCCAGACTCAGGACAGTCAGGCAAAGGCCCTCAGCTCGAACTATTCAAGAAAATAAGCAACAATCACTAAAGAGACTTTGCAGAACAAGCAAGCTGTGAACCTCCTCATACCTGTGCCTGGTACAGGTATTCTTTTACTTCAGTCAACTGTTATGATGATGGCTTTCCAGAGACACAAAAAAATTAGGAAAAGCAATCTGCTTCTAAAAATGATATAATTTATATTCTGTAAGTTTTCTTCCCTTGTAATTTTTGAGAAGAAAAATAAAGACCCAAAGCAAGAAGTACAAAAATACAGTTTTGTTGTGACTTTTCTCACTAAGCCGCTAAGAACCACACCACTTGAGGGGAGTCTCACCTTGACAAGCTGTCTCCTTTCCTTTCCATCAGAGCCCAAACAATCGATTATTTTAGGTAAATTTAAACCTCCTGCTAAACGAAATTCTGCTTTAAATGATTGTATCGTCACCAGATTTCCATATTCTCCTGTAGGGTCCACCTAGTAAAGAGTATAAATGTGACAAACAGGTCAGGTACATTACGGGTGTTTAAAGATAAATTAAAAATGACAATTTTACTCTTTTGTTAAAGTTTATTTATTTACTTAGAGAGAGAGAGTGTGTGCATGCGTGCAGGAGCGGCAGAGAGAAAGACAGAGAGAGAATCCCAAGCAGGCTCCATGCTCAGTGTGGAGCCCAGACATGGGGCTCTAACCCACAAACCGCTGAGACCATGGGCTGAGCCGAAATTATGAGTTGGATCCTTAACTGACTGAGCCACCCCGGTGCCCCTATAAACAACAATTTTCCTATGAAACACAGGAATGAATGACAACGTGCTGTGGGTTAAGGGCTAGAGTGGTAATTTACTTTCTGTTTAAATGAAAGAAACAAGGGGTGCCTGGGTGGCTCAGTTTGAGCAAGTGACTGTTGATTTCTGCTCAGGTCATGATCTCATGGTTTGTGAGTTCGAGCTCGATGCTGACAGTAGAGCCTATTTGGGATTCTGTCTCTTACCCTCTCTCTCTGCCCCTCCCCTACTTGTGCTCTCTGTCAAAATAAACTTAAAATATTCTTAACTTAAAAAAAAAAATAAATGAAAGAAACAAAATTCAACACAGGAAAGGTTTATAAAGTCACACAAGTTACCTCCCTAAGTTCCTCTCACTGAAAGAGGGGCACGCAGTGTTGGAAAAGTGTAGCCAAAAGCTGCTTTCAGGTCTGACCCCTGACTTTGTCTCTATTCAGTCATCTGAGAAATAGTTCTATTTATCACAAAAACATAGGAAGGTAAATTTTAGAGAAGTATAGAGAGTGGTTTCCAGGGTTGTAAGTGCTAAATCTGGCATTTTCTGGAACTATTGAGCCAACTACCTTTGCTAGTGTAGCTGGAAAAATATTAGTCCAGATGATGTGGCTACACTTCAAATCAAATAAGTACATATACTAAGAATGTAGTCAAAATGATCATTTTTCTTTCATTTTTAAAATATTTTTTCAAGTTTTTATTTAAAATCCAGGGTTAGTTTCAGGTATACAATACAGTGATTCAACACTTGCATACGTCACCTGGAGCTCATGACAGCAAGTGCATCCTTCACCCCACGACGTATAGCACCCATCCCCCCACCCGCCTCCCCTGACCACCAGTCTGGTCTCTGGAGTTAGGAGTCTGTTACTAAACTATCACCTTTATTATTACTACATGTATCCCTGCCAACGTGCTATTTCTAGCAAAAGATCACTGCGACACAGCTAGAAGTGTCACATATATTACAGTTACTACCATAACCTGAGCTCTAACACTTAATACCGTGACACAGCACAGTCAATACGGTCTAACACATCCAGGATTTTTAAAATACAAAGCATTTATGGACTTTCTTGCCAAGTTAAAAATTGGTCTTGGCATAAGCACGGGGAACCTTTCCTTATTTTGGCCAATGAAGGTGAGCATCTACAGACCTTCCCCCAGGGAAGACGGGAGGTGCAAAGCGGAAGGCGAGAGAAAAGCAAGCAGTACAGTCCTTTAAGTATTTTTAAGGGCTGGGTCAACGGAAACACAGAGTTTCTTTATATGAAAGTGCAATTTTGACTTTAAAATTTTTGAATTTAAAAAAAAAAGTCTGTTTCAAATGATTTACCCTAAGAGGAACTTAGCTCAATAAAAAAATCAAAACAGCTAATAGTAAATTACCTTAATTTCCATAGTTGGGACAACAACGTCTTCTAAATTCTTCAGTTTGGTAATTGGCTGGTCTGCTGGGATATTTATGCCTTCTGTGTTTAAAATAAAGAGGTTCTGGTGATCACCTGTACACTGAAGAACAGCTCGGAAGGGAAAGAGGGAGAGTTCAGCAGACACCACAGACCCCAACCTGTGGTTCGGACCCTGGTTCAGAAATGAAGAGCCAGGGCTTGGGATACGATGTAGCTCAGAGCAGAGCATGGCTGACACACGAATTTGCAGGTAACCTGGCACTAGTGATTAGGCCGATCCTGGCTGCGGGTCCATGCTGAGCACCTTAAGATAACTCCGTAAGTCTGTGCAGCACGTAGGTAATGTACTCCTGCCACGTCACTGTTAAACGTAACCAACGGACATGACAATTCATATCCTTTGCTTACAGGAATACCAGAGAAGTCTCGTTCTTATTTTAAACTAGCAACAACTTAAATGTGAAGACATGATCCTGAACAGAAGAGGGAATATAATTCTCCAAGTACACAGAGAGAGACTTTGGAGTGTATGCACATAACCAAATACTAGAGCAGCTCCTGATGACTCGCAGAGACACAGGAAGAAGAGGGAGGGATCATATGTGCGCAAGGCATTCTAACATTTGTGGAGGAAACAATAAGGCTTCTCACTCTTAAGTCCCAGAGAACAGCGAGTAACTGACATCATTTTAAGAAACTTTCGAACCTGAAAATGGTCATTTATTCAGTTATTTTAATGGACTTGTCTCGACACAATTAATTCTCTGCAACAAGTATTTGCACCAGAATATTACCCAGAGAAATCAATTAATTCAGTGCAGTCGTCTATCATCAGATAGATATAAGATATTAAATAAAAAGTGACCAGGGGATGGTGAAGCTACTGGATAAAAGTTAAGCTGCGGATCATGTGTGAATTGTAATCATAAGGACCTTCATGTCTGTAATTAACGTTATGTGTCTAAGTTAAAGAGATTACATATTAGTTAGGCTTTATAATTCACATATCCCCACAGAGAAAAACAGCAAGAAAACCACACTCTTTCTCCCCAACACATACTTCTCTGCGTCCTCCACTGAGTGGCATCTAAGTTTGCTAATATGATGTAAGCATCACAAAGTGCCTCGACGCTTCTGACCATCTGAGGTCTCCTACTTCTGATAGTACATATTATTCTGTTTGCAGCCTCGGTTCGATCCTGTTAGTAAAAAAACAAGCAAAAAACATTACATAAAGAAATACCCAGGGCGCCTGGGTGGCTCAGTCAGTTAAGTGTCCGACTCCCACTCAGGTCATGATCTCACGGTTTGTGGGTTCGAGCCCCGCGTTGGGCTCTGTGCTGACAGCTCAGACCCTGGAGCCTGCTTCGGATTCTGTGTCTCCTTCTCTCTCTGCCCCTTCCCTATTTGTGTTCTTTCTCTCTCTCAAAAATAAGTGAACGTAAAAAAGTTAAAATAAATAAATAATAAAGAAATTCCCAACACTTACACTTTTCAGAGTTATAACAAGAGGAACCACCAAATTTATGGACTGATCTAAGCACTGGAAAGACTCTTGTCCCTCAGAAATGAACAGAAGAGTCACCTTATGAATGAAACACATCAAAGGTATAATAATATTAACAGTAAATGACTTAGGTGTGTCTTGAAATCTGGCTTCTCTTTGCTCAATGTGAGGGGAAAACGTATTGGTATCTCCTATGCTTTGAGAATATTCAGGAATTTTGAACCATTTTTAGGTGGCATAAAAACAAAGGACTTAAAAACTGAATATGAACAACACACATTCTTAGAATTCCTGAGATTTAACAAATGAATATCCTGAGAAAAAAAGGAATACTCCAGTTCCGAAAGGTCTATACCTCATCAAGCTGAGAGCTTTGTTTAGGTGCGTGTTTACTCATTCTACTCCTCCTTGCCGCCTCTGGTTTCGTCAAAAATTCATCTTTGTTTGCATTCGCTAAGGCCAGTATAATGAACAAGGTATGATGGGGGTGGTCCATAGCGATTCTAGAGATAAGCTGTCAGAAAATAAAGAACTGTTAGTTTTATGCAGTCAACCAAACAGACAAAAATGGAAAATCTGTAATGTTTTTCATTTTGTCTGACAGGACACATGTCTCTCTCCCGGATGCCACGGTGGGCAGAGCATGTGTGTGTGTGGGACGGGGGAACGTGAGGAAGGACACAGAAATGAGTAACTTACGTAGAGAGAGATAAGACAAAAGGAGGTTTTTATTCCCGCCCTTTCACAGCATGATAAACACAACTTACTGGGATATTTTTATATTTTCATCTCCTCGAGTGGGAGAGTAGTATATAATACATGAAAGAAAAGCACCTGTGTTTTGGTTTGCAGGCGTGCTTACATTATTGAGGACTTCGTGGAATCCTAGGCCCCCCATCATTTTGGTCCCCATTCTAGCAGCCAGCTGGTACATAAGAGGCAGGAATTTGTACGACGGAATCTCCATTCCCTTGCTCTACCATAAAAAAGAAAACAAAAAACTTAAAAAACAGTGCGTTTCAAGAAGCCTCCTATCTGAGCAAATAACTTACTCTAAGATACGGCGACCAGCACAGCCATCTGCTGGTTGTTGATAAAACTGCACTAGTTGCCTTTCCCCCCTTAACATTCATTTTCTCAGTCTTCCGCGGTATTCTAGGCTGGATTCACTGGTGAGCCTCCGTGTTCCATCCTAAAGTGAACTGTGTTCAGACCCGGAGTGCGCGCCCTGATTACATCCCAGTGAGACGGGAGGGCTGCTGTGCTGGTGATGCCTGGGAGTCCGTGTGTAATAAAATGGGGAAAGTGGTTTCCCCGACGCCAGAGGTAGCAGGACTGAATGCAAGCGCGCGCGCGCGCGCGCGCACACACACACACACACACACTCTCTCTCTCTCTCTCTCTCTCTCTCTCTCGAGGAGTAGAGCACCGAGCCAAACGGCGGGGATACAAAGAATACCCAAAATCGCTGACACTGGCAGGCTCCTGTCTAAGCTTTTTAAGCGCAGGCTACAATCCGGGGTTTACAGAGATGACTTGCCTTCATCATGCCATTGACCTCAGCAACTCCAGAATTTTCGAGCCAGAGAGAACAAAGACGGAATATCCACATATCATGTCCTTCTCCGCTCAATAAGCAACTGATGTAGTTTTCAACTGCTTTACATAAGAAGCGCTTCCGGTCCTCTTTCAGGGCACGGAGCGCACATTCATCCAACTCCAGCTCTCGCTGCACCTTTATTGTGTATCTTGTGTTGGATAATTAAAGGAAAATACAAAATCCATCAGAGTATAGAACTACATCATACATGATACACAACATAAATGAAAAGTCAGGTATCCATCCTAGGAGAAAAGGCAAAATTCTAAATATTATAAGGGAACAAACAGTATTTCAAAGTAAGTCGGTGCAATTTAAAAGCCATTCTAGGGGTGCCTGGGTAGCTTAGTCGGTTAAGCGTCCGACTTTCGCTTAGGTCATGATCTCGCGGTTCGTGGGTTCAAGCCCCACGTCGGGCTCTGTGCTGACTGCCAGCTCAGAGCCTGGAGCCTCTTTCGGTCTGTGACTCCCTCTCTCTGACCCTCCCCTGCTCACGCTGTCTCTCTCTCCTAGAAATAAATAAAACATAAAAAAAAAAATTTAAAAAATAAATAAATAAATAAAAGCCATTCTAGGGGCATGTGGGTAGCTCAGTTGGTTAAATGCCCAACTCTTGACTTTGGCTCAGGTCATGATCTCACGGTTTGTGAGATCAGCCCTGTGTCGTACTCTTTGTGGAGGCTGCTTGGGATTCTCTCTCTGCCCTTCCCCACTTGTGAGTACACACACACACACACACACACACACACACACACACACTCTCTCTCTCCCTCTCTTCCTCTTTCTTGCTCTCAAAAATAAAAACAAACGTCAAAAGCCATCCTAGGCAACCAGGGACCAAGTGGACTCTACCCAAGATACCTACTTAACTTTATTCTCTACTTTCACTATCGTATTCAGACAAAAGGCAGGTCTGAATAAAGGGTTAAAAAAAACCCATACATCAGAATAGATAACTTCTGTCTTTAATTTCAACACCTATCTCTTTTTAACTATACTACAACAAACCCAAAAAGCAGAACAAAAAGCTAACATCCATACACTCTACAATGAGCTTAGAACCGCAGCGGGAAATCACGCTCTGGTTCTGTACATCTTCTCTGTATATAGTCACTGCATCTCTGTGCACCTTGTCACTTATCACTGGTGGACATCTAGTTACCTGGTGGTCTGAATTTTATGTTCCCTAAGAAGGCCCACTTCCTCTTTGGCCCTTTTCAGGAGAGCTTGCTTATTCTCAAATTCTGATGATTTCATGTAGTTTTCAATTCTCTGGTACTGAGTATCTGAGAACCGTGCTAATGAGAGAAATGCCTTCATTTTTCCATTTCTAAGCTCATCACTGCTTTCTCCATCATCATTTCTGGCAACTTCCACTGCCTTCAAGAAAACACAGTCATTTATGTTATATACACAGATACTAAATGTATCTAAAGAATCACTTAAAGAGACAGCCACCCTAAATTTCAATTATACATATTTTTATGGAGAAGCTAAATCATATGAAGTACACAGTATTTTGGATTTTCAAACAACTCTGACAGCATAGAAATAACGAAGACAGCTAATATTTTAAAGAACTATACAAAAACAAAGGGTTTCATAAAATGTAAAGACCATCATGTTATACTTTCATGCTACACTTAATTTACAGTGAGACAGCTACTTCCAAAATGAATTAAACTGAAGGAATAAGGGGGGAAACAGGAGGGGTAGAGGGGCCGGAGCACTAAGTCCTGGTCCTGTTTGTAGGGCAGCTGGGTTACAAGTGCACAGTCAACACTGACTTGCATGCTCCTTAGTCAGCTCTTCTTGTAGATCAGTAAATGGAGAAATGACAAGAAACAACTTGAGAGAGTAGCTTCCGGGAGTTGGGGGGTGGAGGGGTTGCTGAGGGAAGACATATCTGGGCTTCCTTTCAAAACAGGGTTCTTCTTTTTTACCACTGTTTCATCCACACTAAAAATTACACGGAGCTGCTACAGTATTAAATACCCCAAAACTGAAATCTTATTTTTATTTGTTTCTGAAATGCACTTGGCCTTGATGAAAGGATCAAGTGTCCTCGTGCTAAACAACTCTCCTCAGGCCTGTGAGAAAACCTTACCTTTTCCAGGTAGGTCTGCATGATGACTGCAGGGTTTTCTAAGCAAGTTTCCGCCAACCAGGTGCCGCAAACCCTCAGACATTCTGTGTACAGAAGTCTTAGGCTGGGATCGTTCTGTATACGAGAAGCAAAATCTTAAAATGTAATTCACAATCATGACTATGCGAAAGTATCTTCCATGTAGGGGAAAAGAGCAGGTTAAAAATATTTTCCCGCATATATGCCAGGCACTTCAGCAAGGCTTGACTTCTGTACATTACCTCATCTCAGCTCGAGGACCCGATGAGGCGAGCACTGTATTGCCCTTAATCTGCAGAGTGCGGCGGGAGACCAGACATATGGAGGGGACAGGTAACTCTAGCCAGGCTGACCCCGGGGCCCCCTTGTTAAGCAACGTGGGAACATCCTATTGTACCAGCTCCCAGAGCTCGGGTGTAGTGGTAGACTCTCGGATGAGGGAGGATGTCCTACAAGTGCCCAATACCGGAAATGCAGGTGGGCGTCAGAAGGACGGCACTGTGGCCACACCTGCAAACTCCATGTGATTCCCCCAAATGCCTCTACTTTGTCCATCACGTGCTGGAGAGAGAGCTAGAGGCATACAGATCTCCAGTAACCAGCAGATAATGTTAAATAAACTATTAGACATTTCCTAAGTATGAGGATTGACAACTTAATTGCCCCAAATTGCTATTGTTTTTTAACTTTGATTCTCTCACACATTTCTTCTTCCATTACTTTACTTCAGATTTATAGTCGCTGTATCTTTCCCCCTCCACCTCCTACAGTAGTTATTTCAGGTTTGTGTCCATCAGACGCTTCTCAAATTGTATATAGCTTTTTCTTTAAAAAAGGCTTAACACTGGGTTAAATCAAACAAATCTACCACAAGATGGACTAACAGAATCACTGTAAAGAGACAAAAAAATGAGTATTTCTAAACTTTTACAAAAATTAATTTTCCAGGCTCTTTTTTACAATTTCTTGCTCATAGATCAGTAAATTTGAAGGCTTTAATAAAACTGTGGATATATTAAAAATATTTTAGGGGGTGCCTGGGTGGCTCAGTCAGTTAAGTGTCTGACTTCAGCTCAGGTTATGATCTTGCAGTTCGTGAGTTTGAGCCCCGCGTCAGGCTCTGTGCTGACAGCTCAGAGCCTAGAGCCTGCTTCGGATTCTGTGTCTCCTTCTCTCTCTCCCAAAAATAAACAAATATTAAAAAAACTTAAATGAATATATTTTAAAGCTCAGTAATTGTTTTTTAACAGTAAAATACTAATTCAGTCAATTAAAAAAAAACAGTAAACCTCTGCACCACTGGCGTCCAGCTTCTTGATCATCTGTTTGAGGACGCTCAGGGCGAGACTCTGTTCCTTTCTCGCCCAAAAAACTTGTGCCTCCTCCAGCTGCCACTCGGAGACCCCACGACCAGCTGGGCTGTACTGTTTGATGTGAAATATTGCTCTTTCAGGGAGCTGAAATGAAAACGACATATGGGAATAAATACTGTTACTATTCCTACTGCTATTGCTAGGACGAATCATGGAGATAGCTAGTCCCATCGCTGATGGGGGTTTGTCACGATGGCCTCGAGTCCGCCTGTGCCTGCCTCGCTCAGCCCCACATCCACCTGGTTCTCTCACAAACATGTACGTATAGACGTATACACAAGCATACGTACGTACACACACGTGTGTGCGTGAGGCATATAAAATCACTAAATTGTATCAATATCGTAAGTTAGGTATCTTCTCATTTTAGAACCATGGGATTGAGTACTTAGTTAAGTACCCTGTCCAAGGCTTAAACTCAGGTCTGATGCCAAAAGGGGAAATCTTGAACTATTATGCTAAGCAATATTTCTATAGCAATCTGCTTCTCACTGACGCTTCTGTTTTACTCATGCTTTCCATTTTCTGGGTCATAAAGGAAAAAGTCATGGGGTGAGACATCATTTTCAATCCTATTACCTGAGTGTTCTTAAAAGTTCGGGCTAGTACAGAGAGTTCTACAAGGTGCTTGGTGAGAATATCCTTCAAACATTCTCTCTGGGAGTTTTCCATTTCCTTTTCCATCAAGATCTCCAAAATGACTCTGCGGAGAGCCATGATGGGCTCCTGAAAACTAAAGTCACTGTCCTTGAGAAGCTGGGAGTGTTTCCGCCACTGAGCATACACTTCGGAGGGCTGCCTATCCGGGGCTGACCTGAAAGCAACACCACAGAAGCCACGTAAGCAAGAGAAATGAAGGCCCCACTCGCCTACTGCACAGCTGCCGCAGCTAAGACACAGCACAAAGGAGTTTTTTTCAGTAACGACAAGAGAGCTTCAAAAGGATGCAAAATAAGCACCAAAGTTTAGACAACTACAAAACCATGAGGCCTGTGAGGGTCCGCACAGGAGATACAGGTGGTGAACGTTCTTAAAGGTTTTCTCTTCAACCTCACAAAAAGCAGCATTTCTAAGTGTATTTCTTCTGAAATGAGAACACCGTCATGAGGCCTGGCATCGGGACGCCTTCACCCCTAGCCCTGCTTCAATGCTCCCTGCAGATAAAGAAGGCCTGTCAGCAAGGCAATGGAGCAGACGTATTCATTTCTGCTGTGCCCAAGAGGGTGCAGGGGAGGACTCTGTGCATAATTACAGCTGCTAAAGAAGCCACAATTCAGGGAGGGATATGCTGGCACCCGGCAAAGGTCTCACTACCCAACATTATTTATTATTGTGCAATCAGTTTACATGAAAAGGGTGCTTCCCATGCAGCCACACTAAGCAATACTGTGCAATCTTTCAGGGCCACTGTACTGACAGGAATCAAGATGAAGCAGGGACAGTAAGAAGATGACAAGGTGGGGACTAGGAAACAAAAGCTTGTTCAGGAAGCTTCTAGTACAGCACGGCAGCACAGACCTAAAACGACACCAATGCCAATGCAGTGCTGAGACAGAGTGGCCATTCATGTGCTCTGGCAAAAAAAAACATGAAAAAGCAATTTTATGTGGGGTAGGAAGGGGGAGAGCTGTGAAGAATAAAGTACAGTGATGCTAAATCTTAAAAACCGGAATTTTCACAATAAATATTTTTGAAAATGTTTAAGAAGAGCACAGTTAATTAGGCCAGTCAACTTCTATCTTTTTTTTTTTTTTAATTTTTTTTTTTAATGTTTTATTTATTTCCAGGAGAGAGAGAGAGAGACAGCGTGAGCAGGGGAGAGTCAGAGAGAGAGGGAGTCACAGACTCTGAAACAGGCTCCAGGCTCTGAGCTGGCAGTCAGCACAGAGCCCGACGCAGGGCTCGAACCCACGAACCGCGAGATCATGACCTAAGCGAAAGTCGGACGCTTAACCGACTAAGCCACCCAGGCGCCCCCAGTCAACTTCTATCTTGACAGAAGAAATAACCCTGGGACTGTCTCCCATCTCAGTTGTTCCGTCAGGGCTCCCCTCCCGTCTCAGCTGTCCCGTCAGGGCTCCCCTCCCGTCTCAGTTGTCCGGTCAGGGCTCACCACACAGACCTGCCCTCAAGCAAGAGGCACAGTGTCGCGGGAACCACGTACCTGGAGAAAAGCTCCCCGATGTTTTCGAGCTCCCCAATGGCCTGCAGCCTGCTGAGGGTGGGGTAGAGCGAGTACACGGACTCGAGGCTGCCCCTACACAGCTCCTCCACTTCTCTCACCCTGGGGGCAAAAGACAGGACACTTGGGACACGAAGAGGTTTTCAGAAAGATCAAAGATCAGATCTGTGGATACAGCGTTCCTTCGCTGGCTCTGCTGCTGACCTAACACTGCTGAGACACGGTGGCCCCCGCGTCCCGCAGCGGAAACGCAATCCTTGCGCGGACCTGCACTGCATCCCGACCCTATGCTGCAGGCCATCTAACCCAGGCCACGTCAGTGCAGTCCCCTGAACCCAGGCTTCTTCGTTTTCAGAATTCTTCTGAAGATTAGAGAATCCACACAGAAAGAGCCTTACAAAATGGCCAGCACATAATAAGCACCAGAACGGCAGCAAATATTTCTGTAATAAAATACAGAATTTAACAGGTCACTAACTACCATTAAATAAACAGTCTATAACCTGTGTTAGCCTGTTATAGTTAAGTACCTTCTTGTGCATCATCTCATTGTGCCTGATAACAAGCCTAAGTCCTGGTGAGTACTAAGCACAGTCAGCACTTCACAAAAAGAATACCAGTGCTAACAGGTAAACGCCATACAACTACCAGCGGAGGTGAGGTTAAAACTCTCAGGACACAGGGGCCCGGGAACAGGACAGAGAGGCGGGCATCAAAAAGACATTCTCAAGGGCTCTGCATAAAAAGCTGATCTGTTCCCAAAGGGAATTTTTTTTTTTAAAGGAAAGAACAGATTTGAACCACATGAGCAAGTGAAAAGATTATTACATAAGAAAAAGATAATGTTAACAATTTACGTAAGCATGTAACATATGAGCACATTCCTCCATCTAAAACCAAAAAAAAAAAAGGTACCGTTATAGCACCATATATATGGATAGAGAATTCTCTCCTCTAAAACCTCTGAAACACGGGGAATGCCTTTCCATGACATAGAAAACACCCACAGTTCCTATACAAGCACTCCTGCAGAAGACAAATCTCATTGGAACCCTTACTTCTCAGATGTACACAAGCTACAACAGTGTTCATCAGAGAGTTTTGCCTCCCCCTTCTGCACTGTGGGAATCCCATCACTGACTGGCATGAGGTATTACACAGAGAAGGTGCTGACAGGAGAGTGGGAATGACGAAGAAACAACCTGACCAAAGCCACCAACTGCTTACCCGTCAGCAGTGCAAATCCCCTCGCTGAAATTACTCACCAAGTTTTCCGAAAAGCAGCCATGATGCTAAATGTTAAAATACAGTAACTCTTTTTATAATACCTGGCATATTTGAGGCTTTCATAAAATGTGGAGAATTCTCTATCTCTTAGAGACTGCAGAGCATTGTAGATGGATTCGTGGTAATTAGTTCCCTCCATTGCTTTGCTGAGATAATTAAAACAGAAGAGGAAAAGAAATATATTTAAAAACAAAAAATCTTAAAATGTACACGTAAAAATAACTGCACCAAAAAACCAAAATTTGACAACTAAAATTAAGGCGTCTCCATTTTAAAAAAGCATTTCTAGAACTTTTGGCAAGAAATACAAAGGATTTTGTGGATCATTTTATTTTTTTATTTTTTTTTTTTTTAAATATTTTTTTTAATGTTTTATTTATTTCTAGGAGAGAGAGAGAGAGACAGCGTGAGCAGGGGAGGGTCAGAGAGAGAGGGAGTCACAGA